CGTTTTCCTGTTTAAATTCATTGAGCTGACCCTTGGAGAACTGCAAACTGTTCCCCAGTTCCTGGACCTCTCTAGTCAGGTCGTCCATAATTGTATTAGTTGACTCAACCAGTATTTGGACAAAACACTTGATACAATTTTCTTGTTGTTCTAACAACTGCTTGTAGAACTCGTTTTGTTAGTTTAAAAGATCCTTCACCTTTGACAGAGAGACACCACTGTCATCAACGGTACTCCCACCGGTTTTGGTCTTTGTCATGGTAGCAACGTAGGCTACGCTGTTATTCCCCGCAATTCCAGACATGGCACATCGCAGGGAAGATGGAAACAGCAACAAACAGTAGGGATCTAGACAGCCACAAGCCTGGGACAATCCGCGGTCCCAGCCACAAGGAAAACCCACTAGCTTGATAGGTAGCTGACAGTGGCAGCTAGGTTAGCTGCTACGCCAAACAGCTCATCATCAGACCCTCGGTTGGCAGGATCCCTGGACAGATAGCAACGGTCCCAGCAACTGATGCCAAAATCAGAAGTTAGCTAGCTAGTAACTAAACTTTTCCAATAGAACACTTTTTCAGACACTTTCAAAACTTTGCAAACCAACAAACCGGAACGGAATTGTGATGGCATGGTTCTTCTGGATAACCTATTGAAATAAGTTATGCTTTAATATAACACATTTGTATATGAAGGATTTGTGATAAAATGTTTTATTGTCCGCTTGAAATTTCAGGAGATGTAAAATGTAGCATGCACTGGGATCAAGCTAAGCTAACTACAAGCTTGTTAACTATAGCCACACTAATAATATGGGTTGCAACAATTTCTAAATAGACTTACCATTGTGTTACTTCCTGCATTCCTCTTGGGTTTTGCGCTGGCTCATTATCTTCCTCCTTAATTTTAGGGTCAGACTCTGGCTCATAATGGGACAACATTACAGTAGTGTTTCTGGTTAAGTAGCCATGTAGTGAGTTTGTTGTGGTTGCATCAGCCAATCAGAACTAAGAAACATGAATATGTATAATGTTATCCCCACGTCCATACCTTTTGGCTAGTGTGTTTCCAGGAGAGATTCTGGCTTCAGTAAAAGCTGTTTTTAAAATACTTATTGACGAGTATGATTGAAAAAACAACACGTAACAGCTTGATGATAGTTTGAGATCATTGTTTATTGAAGTCAAGTGAAACAAAAACGGCTGGCGTGAACCTTTAACCTTTTCACATGTGAGTTCCAAATATATCTAACGGTCACCCCAGCATGAATATTTCTATGCGAGTGATGTAAAAAATTTGATTGTTACGCAACAGGACAGTTAACCCACGCTGCCCTCAAACCAAGGCACGCTGCCTGCTAATTATCTATAAGCTATGTTTCAACTTGTCAATTTCAAATTATTTTCTTACAAGTTTGATTTTCTAACAACAGTTTGAATTGAGGTGTGTTCCCCCTCTTCATTAATTCACATAAGAAGTAGCCCATTTCATTGTTGCGGACAATTTATGTCTGAGGCTTTACTGAGTCGGACAAACTTCTCTCTTTGTCGAGAGCCCAAGCACTTCCCCAGTGTTTCCCCAGATCAATTATGAAGACATTGCGCATCTTTAATCAGAACAGACCTTGCACAAACTCTTTCCCATGTTTCCCCCTGGCACATTTTCTGGCTGGCACCCGCATTGTCTTCCTTCATTGTTGTTTTACTTACAAATAATAACTTTGGACGTGTGCGATTCACATGTTTTCAAGTACTGGTGACAAATAATGCATTCCAATTATTGCATTGATTGTAATGGACACATATGATGTGTGTAAAATATTGTCAGGTTGGATGGGAAGCGTCGCTGCACAGCAATTTTCAGGTCCTCCAGAGATGTTCGATCGGGTTCAAGACAGGGCTCTGGCTGGGCCACTCAAGGACATTCAGAGACTTGTCCCAAAGCCACTCCTGCGTTGTCTTGGCTGTGTGCTTACGGTCGTTGTCCTGTTGGAAGGTGAACCTTCGCCACAGTCTGAGGTCTTGTGCACTCTGGAGCAGGTTTTCATCAAGGATCTCTCTGTACTTTGCTCCGTTCCTCTTTCCCTCAATCCTTACTAGTTTCCCAGTCCCTGCCACTGAAAAACATCCCCACAGCATGATGCTGGAGCTCTGCCAGAGTGACCATCCGGTTCTTGGTCACCTCCCTTACAAAGGCCCTTCTACCCCTATTGCTCAGTTTGGCCGGGTGGCCAGCACTAGTAAGAGTCTTGGTGGTTCCAAACTTCTTCCATTTAACAATGATGGAGACCACTGTGTTCTTGGGGACCTTCAGTGCTGCAGACAGTTTTTGGTACCCTACCCGAGATCTGTGCCTCGACACAATCCTGTCTCGGAGCCCTACAGACAATTCCTTCGACCTCATGGCTTGGTTTTTTCTCTGACATGCGCTGTCAACTGTGGGACCTTATATAGACACGTGTGTGCCTTTCCAAATCATGTCCAATCAATTGAATTTACCACAGGTGGACTCCAATCAAGTTGTAGAAACATCTCAAGGATGATCAAAGGAAACAGGATGCACCTGAGCTCAATTTCGAGTCTAATAGGAAAGGGTCTGAATACTTAGGTAAATAAGGTATTTCTGTTTTAAATTTTTGATACATTTGCTAACATTTCTAAAAAACTGTTTTCATTTTGTCATTATGGGGTATTGTGTGTAGATTCATGTGGAAAAACATACATTTAATCCATTTTAGAATAAGGCTGTAACATAACAAAATGTAGAAGAAGTCAAGGGGTCTGAATACTTCTCGAATGCAGCATGATTGTTGACATTATACAATGCATTCTGGTTGTCACGTAAGCATCTGTCAGACCAAAGCTGTTATAAAAAACTAAGTGAAGGGATAGTTCACTCGACTGACTTATGGTGCTTTCAAGAAAACTGGGAACTCTGTGATCTTCAGTCGGAAGGTCTTAGCTCTAGAAAGAGGCATGGGCTCCTGAGTTGGAATTACTAGTTGGATGACCTTTAAAAAATAAAAAATAAAAACATTCGGAGCTCGTTTTTTTCAGAGTTCCCAGTTGTCTTGAACACACTGAAGTCAGAAGTTGAAGATTTTCGAGTTCCCAGTTGTTTTGAACGCTACATCAGATTGTAACTATGGTACCTCATGGTTGCCAGCTCTGACCCCCCCTTTCCAGGGGGTTAATTTTTATTTAGCGTGTAAACTTCTCCTGTGTTTGCCCCCCATTCATTGATAAATCCCCCATCAAAGTAATATGTCCTGCATCATGATGCCTTCCCCCATTCCTACCCCCCATGGACTTGAAACCCACCACAAATGAAATTAACCCCCTCTCACAAACCCCCCTAAAATGGTTTCATCCCTGTTTAGCATTTGCGCTATGGTTAGGGTAGGCAGTAGGCTAGTATTTGGTGCGATTATCTTATTTGCTTTGTGATAAAGTAAAAAATGGTAAACGACTTGTCAAGTCATGTGCTCCGGTTCTTCTATACACTGTAACAAGTACTTAGAAGATTTGTAATATGCTAGAAAGTTGCCAAATTAAGTTAATATTTTTCAGGCAATGGGTGCAGCCATCTTTTACTTTGACTTTGTTTATTTGCATTTTATAGTGAATGGCATTCTGGGATTAGGGAGTTGTCGCTTGGAAACATAAACAAACATGGCTGCCATCATAAAGAATTTAGCTGCTGTTAGCTTAGCTGATGGGCATCTATTTTCTAAACAATATTCAATTTCTCCCTTGTGCTCACTAGAGATGTGGTACATTGTAAACAAGTCTAGCTGTGAAGTCACTAACTTATGTATTTTTTATTGTCAGTGCAACATGTTATTTAGACTGGTTTATGGAATGAGTTTGGCTGTGGATGTGTTCCGTGTTATGTTTGGATGATGAAATTCACATTTACCTTTTACAATAAAAGGTGAAATTGAGGAATACAGTTGTGAAGACCTTTATTTCCCATCAGTACAAAACATTCTTTAGATGCTTTTCAGACAACAATGTTTAGACGTGTTTGTTGCATCATAGCTACGTTCTGTTGCTACTGTTCCAATCACATATTTGCGATGGTACGCTGCAGGGACCGCTCAACAAAGATCACAAATGTGTCATTGTACGCATCAAAGGGTTAATATTCTTCCCTTTCTTCTCCAGGAGAAGGCAGTGGAGTACACTGTTCCAGAGTGATTAGTAAGGTATCAAAGCTAATCCTTTAGCCACCTTACAGTAAATAGCCAAAACTTTCCTCGGCAACACCACCATCCTGGTCCTTGGATCCCATTGGCCAATCTCATATTTATCTCTATCCCCTAACCCCTAGACAGTTGTGAAAGGACTTGAAAGGTATATCCAGTTATTGCTTTAAAAGGCTGGCTCAAGATGTAAGAGAATGCACATACAAGGGACATGTTTGTTTTGGTTTTGAAATCCACTAATTTCCTCTGTACTCCTTATATGTAGATATGTTTTGTTATTTTTGGCTTTGGGCTATACATGAGAATCCAGTTGGAAAGAGATGCATCACACAAACGGATGAAATTAGGCATGTTTGATCAAGTGCCTGCCTTATAGTGACCAGATGCATTTTGCTTGACTCCCAAGCAGATGGCTTGTTGATCTTCTTCGTCAGGTGATCAGACGAGTTCACCTCTCTCTGTTGATCCATTTAGTCAGGTTAAGCATCATAAAAGCTCTTGTAAGGAGCTTGGACAGAAGCCAAATAACAGCCTTGTCCTGAGATCTAGTGCATGACTTCATCACTTAAGCTATAAGGGATGTTAAGGGAAGAACCTGAAATTACTAAGAACAGAAGGAATGTATAGGAGATTCACCATACCATAATATGAACTTTCTAATTGTTTGTTAGTTTTGTTTTATTTTGGATTATGTGTGTATTGTTATTTTATTGCTAAATATTACTGCACTATTGGAGCTAGAAATGTGAGCATTTTGCTGCACCTGTGATAACATCCACAATTCTGTGTACGCAACCAATAAACTTTGATTTGATTTGAACAGACTTTGAACCAAAGACATTCATGCACAGACGATCACATGTTTTTGCCAGTAGACAAAACAAGAACTGATGACTTCTACACATTGGTGGTTGACTTCTATACACATAATGTAAAGCACTTTGAAAGTTGCTGTATAAATTACATATTTCATTGAGTATAATGACTCCCACTCACCAATGCTCACAAGCAGACACACACACTCACTCTCTCGTTCTCCTAAGAGCAGTTTGCCAACCTCCTCTGGTCCAGTCTCATTTTGAGCTCAGACACCAGTGCTACGTTCATACTGTCAACTGGGATGTTCCTGTTCCTCTTAGGCTTGATCTGTGCCACTGTGCCCAATACCGTCGGCACCACCCACTGTCTGTCCCCTGGCCTCCCCCCAGGGAGCAGTGGGGGAAGGGCAGGGGCATCGGGGGGTGGTGGTGGTCGCCAATGACGTCCGCTCACCATGCTCACATTGTGGTTTGGAGACCAATTGTGTCCAGTCACCACATTCACGTTATGGTTTGGAGGCCGTGGGTGTCCGCTCACCATGATACAGTTGTTACAGTTGACGTTGTCCACCACCATGACCTCCGGTTCTTGGACCAGGAATTTCTTTCCAGGGTTCGGGAACTTGAACGTCACAGGTGGTTTGTTTCGCCTCCGGATGCGGCGGTGGGGCAGGATCCTGTTGGACTTTTTGTTGCGCATGAACATGATGGTGGAGATGAAGACTGTCACCATAACCATGAGACTAATGACACCAGCAATCATGCCTAAGATGTGCAAAGGCTTGTCTCTACTCTGCATGAAAAAGGATGCCAAAGGGCCTCCCCTGAGTTGAGTCTGTAAAAGAGCACAGAGAGACACAGTCATGTCCATTGGACTGAAATGGGAGACTGCAAGTACACATGGGAAACTCATAGTTGTTATCACCTTATGTGGTAATGTGTGTGATGCCATTTGGCTATGGATATATGGGACACAGAGTGTATTTTAATACATTTAAAATGCCAGACCACCCCAGCCAAATCCGCACTAGTGTTAGGCTAGCTACACAGTGTGAAAACATTACACTACATTAGAATAACAAATCCCTAAATTGGCCTACCAACGCTTGGTCAGTGCTAACACAACGAACAAGGATCTGTCTGAAAAATACTAGTGTGAGTTAGTCTGAAATGATAATTCCAGTTCCATTGACTGTTTTTGGGGAATTATTTTATATTTGGATCCTTTTTCGATTGAGACAAGATCAGAAGGGTTAGATGGGGCACCCATTATTAACTGAGACCATGCAGCGTCACAATTGCAAATGAAATGGTATGAGTTTACTGTTCATCCATGACGTTTATCATGGATTTTCATTTCATGTCAAATGAGTGATCAAAATATTCTATTGTGCTCCTGTACTCTTTCACAGACACAAATCATTCGCTATAGTACAATGACCAGCTACAAATACAGGTATCCTTCCAAGACAACATTCATACAGTAAGAGTCTTAGTTAATGATACGGGGGGACAACAAGACTGCTGGATGATCTCAAGGCAAGCTTTGTTTATGACATTGTACAGGCCTCCGTATAATCTTTCTGATCTTGCCCTGAGGTTGAACGCCAGACTTTTTCAAAGTGTTGCAGTAAATGAGGGTGGAAATGAGAACAGTCGTTGCAATGGTGAAGGTGACAACACTAAAACAAATCCCAAACACAGCTGCGGGATGCTCCTTGAGGCTCAGGATGTACGAGAAAAATCTTGATTTTACCTGAAAATACAAAATTGGCATTTAGAGGAATTTGTATAATTTAGGGATGTGAATAGTTAATTTAGGGATGTTTCAAGGTGGAAACCCAAAAAAAATATAACAAACAGAAATCTTGGGTTTGTGTTCAGTTGGATTATTCTATTGAGCAGCTTGAACTATTTGTGATCACTAGGGCTGAGAGTTTTTCCTAACATCGTGGTCTGACCAGGAAAAACTCTATGACATGGTTATTACATAGTTATAGCATATAGTGAGCGTGTGAGTCGGTTTGAGCTGTGTGTGGTGTTGTGTTTCCCAACTAGCTAGGGGGATAGCTAACTAGTGGGGATTAGATCAAACTAAAACCCATGGCTCAATGCCTCTGTCGCATTGATTTCAACCCTTTATCTGAAAAAGACTGCATCAAAACTTACTGGGTTACTCAAGCAGTGAGCATCCCACTGGCTCACACATGAGGCTCCCAAAGACAGCATGAGTAGTATGTTTGGAATGAGGATATGTTACAAACGTCAAAATGTAAACATTAGTGGAGCCACCTTATCAGTTTTGGAGGCAGCAACCTTTTACCCCTTTTTCTCAATTGGTAGTTACAGTCTTGTCCCATCACTGCAACTCCCGTACGGACTCAGGAGAAGCTCCGAAACACGGCCTTGCCAAGCCGCACTGCTTCCTTAACCCGGAAGCCAGCCACACCAATGTGTCGGAGGAAACCCCGTACAGCTGACAACCAAAGTCAGCGTGCATGCGCCCAGCCTGCCACGGGAGTCACTAGAGCGCGATGGGACAAGGACATCCCGGCGGGCCAAATCCTCCCCTAACCCTGACAACGCTGGGCCAATTGTATGCCGCCTCATGGGTCTCCCGGTCGCGGCCGGCTGCGACACAACCTGGGACCGAACCCGGGTCTGTAGTGACTCCTCTAGCACTGCGATGCAGTGCCTTAGACCCCTGCGCCACTCGGGAGGCCCATGGTGCACTACTTTTGACTAAAAGCAACTATGCACCACTTTTGACCAGAGCCGCTAAAGTGCTCCAGAGACAAGCCCTAACTTGAGCCTTTCGTGCAAATCTCATGTGCATATTCCAAGTTTAGATTCATCCCTGTAAGATGAAATAGGTGTAATTGGAGATGAACCCACTGTCTCTTACCGCCTCTGTGATATCTATCTTGACCACCGTGGTGGTGCTGAAAGAGGGCGAGCCTCTGTCTTGGGCCTGGACCACCACAGACCAGGAACAGTCCTTCTGTTTGGTAATGTTCTGGACGATGTCCATAGACTTGATGTAGGACTTGAGCTTGATCTCGCCCGTGTCTGCGTTGATGTCGAATATGTTTTCCGGGTCTGTCTTCATGATGGAGTACTCAATTACATTGTTGGGCCCCTCTGCATCGTCATCTTGCGCCTGTGGGCACATTACACATAAACCAGACACACATGAGATACCGTTTTTTCAATAGTGCTGGCACATTTATGAAAATATTGTCCCATGCTCTCAAAGTAGTTAGCAAAACCATCAAAACATACATCCGCTTATGTTCCTTTCGAGGCCAAAGGCAAATCTCCTTCCTCTGTGTTGTGTTGCTTTGCATTGAGTTGAGTTAAATTGCGTTGTATTTTGATGTGCGTGGTTGCCATGAGGCAACCTAGGCAGAGACATAGAAATATAATGAATAGAACAGATTTGGAAGCTCTATCCCTTGTTGGGTAGCAATTTGAAATATGTGCTACACCAGAAGTTATTGGTTATATGTAGGAGGAATGTATATGGTGTGGTCACTGATAACTAGCCAGCTAGCTTTGTAGGCATGGATTGTGCACCTTCCATTGTTTAGCTAAGTAGCTAACTGGTTGATGTTTTCCTTTTGTAACCAGAGCAGATGAAAGCTTGGTTTTAGCTTTTCCTAGCTAGTTTTTACTCTGTTTGGTCAGAACCTAACACCCTGGAAAGATTGATGTAACACAAGCAGTCATGTTTAGCTAACTCTCGGCTGACAGAAACCACAATATGAATTAGCTAATAGCGATTACTATTTTCAATTAATCACATCATGGGTGAGCTCACCTTTCATTGAAATAATTTAGTAAAACACTTTCTGAAAATCAAAAGTAATCCGACGATGGATAGTTTGTGCGCTCCACCATGTTTGTTTTTTTCGCATCAACCAAAGATAAGAAGAGGAGACGATGAGTTTGATCTGTTTGCAGTATGTATGTTGAAGGGGGTGTGTCGTCTACGATCATTCACTTCCCTTCATTCACTTCCAGAAGTTTACTCGAAAGATGGTAAAAAGCTCAGCATTAGCTCATCATAATCAGTACAACCTTTAAAAAAGTATTTTACACACATCATAGGTGTCCATTACAATCTATGCAATATTCGGAATGCATTATTTGTCACCAGGACTTGAAAACGTGAATAAAACTGTAAATACATTATGTTCCATACATACATACAGTGGGGGAAAAAAAGTATTTAGTCAGCCACCAATTGTGCAAGTTCTCCCACTTAAAAAGATGAGAGAGGCCTGTAATTGTCATCATAGGTACACGTCAACTATGACAGACAAAATGAGAAAATAATTTCTAGAAAATCACATTGTAGGATTTTTAATGAATTTATTTGCAAATTAAGGTGGAAAATAAGTATTTGGTCAATAACAAAAGTTTCTCAATACTTTGTTATATACCCTTTGTTGGCAATGACACAGGTCAAACGTTTTCTGTAAGTCTTCACAAGGTTTTCACACACTGTTGCTGGTATTTTGGCCCATTCCTCCATGCAGATCTCCTCTAGAGCAGTGATGTTTTGGGGCTGTCGCTGGGCAACACGGACTTTCAACTCCCTCCAAAGATTTTCTATGGGGTTGAGATCTGGAGACTGGCTAGGCCACTCCAGGACCTTGAAATGCTTCTTACGAAGCCACTCCTTCGTTGCCCGGGCGGTGTGTTTGGGATCATTGTCATGCTGAAAGACCCAGCCACGTTTCATCTTCAATGCCCTTGCTGATGGAAGGAGGTTTTCACTCAAAATCTCACGATACATGGCCCCATTCATTCTTTCCTTTACACGGATCAGTCGTCCTGGTCCCTTTGCAGAAAAACAGCCCCAAAGCATGATGTATCCACCCCCATGCTTCACAGTAGGTATGGTGTTCTTTGGATGCAACTCAGCATTCTTCGTCCTCCAAACACGACGAGTTGAGTTTTTACCAAAAAGTTATATTTTGGTTTCATCTGACCATATGACATTCTCCCAATCCTCTTCTGGATCATCCAAATGCACTCTAGCAAACTTCAGACGGGCCTGGACATGTACTGGCTTAAGCAGGGGGACACGTCTGGCACTGCAGGATTTGAGTCCCTGTCGGCGTAGTTTGTTACTGATGGTAGGCTTTGTTACTTTGGTCCCAGCTCTCTGCAGGTCATTCACCAAGTCCCCCCATGTGGTTCTGGGATTTTTGCTCACCGTTTGTGATCATTTGAATGAATTTGTGATCATTTTGACCCCACGGGATGAGATCTTGCGTGGAGCCCCAGATCGAAGGAGATTATAAGTGGTCTTGTATGTCTTCCATTTCCTAATAATTGCTCCCACAGTTGATGTCTTCAAACCAAGCTGCTTACCTATTGCAGATTCAGTCTTCCCAGCCTGGTGCAGGTCTACAATTTTGTTTCTGGTGTCCTTTGACAGCTCTTTGGTCTTGGCCATAGTGGAGTTTGGAGTGTGACTGTTTGAGGTTGTGGACAGGTGTCTTTTATACTGATAACAAGTTCAAACAGGTGCCATTAATACAGGTAACGAGTGGAGGACAGAGGAGCCTCTTAAAGAAGAAGTTACAGGTCTGTGAGAGCCAGAAATCTTGCTTGTTTGTAGGTGACCAAATACTTATTTTCCACCATCATTTGCAAATAAATTTATTAAAAATCCTACAATGTGATTTTCTGGATTTATTTTCTCATTGTCTGTCATAGTTGACGTGTACCTATGATTAAAATTACAGGCCTCTCTCATCTTTATAAGTGGGAGAACTTGCACAATTGGTGGCTGACTAAATACTTTTTTTCCCCATTGTACATACTGTATGCTACAGTAGAAACGACAACACGATATACAAAAAATCAGGCACTTAATTTGATAGGAACGCACACATGTCCAAAGTTATTATTTGTAAGGAAAACAACAATAAAGACAATGTGTGTGGCAGCCAAAAAATTTCAAATGAAATCAAATTAAATTAAATTTCACCTTCAAATGTTTTGTGCAACTGACCAAAAGTTAAGGAAACTTTAATGGAAAAGATGAGGTGGAAATTGTTTTTTCCTCAGGTGGGTGGGGCACACGCGTTGCTACTTCAATCTGTGCTGTGATTTGTTGAGTTAAGTTAACTGACATTACAAAAAATACATTCCATTGCATGAGTCACATCAGTTAGAATCATTTTAATTGACATTTACCAGTGAAATTGCTCTAGGACTAATGCAGCCAACATTTTCTGGTTTGGATGATTGTGTTACGCTGTCGCTACTTCTGTCAATATCTGAACATTGTATCCAAAAGTAAACTGGTCACATTCAGGACATAACTTTGTAAGGACTTTGTTTGTGCAAATTGTTTCTGTGAAAAAACTGTGTCAATCGAAACTGGATATTCTAAATAACCTTTCTAATCACTCAGGTTTGAGCGTACGCTGCAGGGACCACTATAGAATGAACACACCCATTTGTTGGTACGTTTCACAGGGTTAAGTGGAAAAAGTTAAGGGTGCCCATGAGCTCCCTTAACTGCTTCATTCAGTATGGATATCAATGTAAACAGCATTTGTGGAGGTGAATGTTGCTTTAATCTGCTCTGGTTAAAAAAGGAAAACATGAACCAGTTCGCTACTTAGCTAAACAATGGAAGGTGCACAATCCATGGCTACAAAGCTAGCTGGCTAGTTAGCTACTTATAGATACTCTGTAAGCTCCCGAGTTGCGAGGTGGTCTAAGGCCCTGCATCTCAGTGCTAGCAGTGCCACTAGAGATCCTGGTTTGAGTCCAGGCTCTGTCGCAGCCGGCCGCGACCGGGAGACCCATGGGCGGCGCACAATTCCAGCGTCGTCCGAGGAAGGGGAGGGTTTGGCCGGCAGGGATGTGGGTTCGTTTCCCACAGGGGGCCAGCATGAATTTAAAAAATAATGATACGTGTATGCATTCACTAACTGTATGTCGCTCTGGATAAGAGTGTCTGCTAAATGACTAAAATGTTAAAATGTAAGCTAGCTTGACATACTAGAAAGTAATATAAACAAGTTGAGCAAAAAGGTAACTACAAGAAACGTGATTTATTATCTTCTCAAGCAATTTGGTTATCCTGTCTTGATTGTAGAAGTTCTATTTTGCTATCTCACAAAATGAAAGCGATCTCTTTGACGAGATGTTTAGTCAGTGAATCAGACCCTCTCCATGGTAACCAGATACTCTTTCTGCCATACATGCCTTCAAACTACCGTAAAACCCCTTAAGTATGCCCTTACCTAAGGAAATATTTGAGGGGCTCTATTCAATGCCCTTACACAATTCCCTTAGGTAAGGGAAAAGTATTCCTTAAGATAAACCCTTAAGGGAAACAATTAAGAAGTTTTATGCAACCCGGGTCCTGTCTTTTTCAGCCATCTATTTCCTGTGTATGTGGGTGCAAAATACACTTGTCACTTAAATCTAGCTGGATTGATTGCTTTCAGTTTACTCCTGTGAGTAAACGTTACTACCGCGGAAAGGTTTGTATGCCAAAAAAAAACAGTGAAAAAATGTGTGCACTAACTAACTAAGTCGCTCTGGAGAAGAACGTCTGCTAAATGACTAAAAATTTTAAAAAAATGTAAATGTTTGTAATTACTTGTCAAACACACACCGGTTATGGCTCAAATGGGCTCAATGTAATACATTGTATTTCTGTTGCAACTATAAGTACGCTAAAGCTTCGTCCGGGATTTAACACATGATCTCAACACTTACATCACAAGAAAGAGAATACATTTTTGTGGAATTGAGAAAAGTAATAATTTGATACAGTTTACATGCGCTAAAATGAAAGGAACTTCTGAAAATGAACACTCGGATTATGGTAATATAATGTCAGATCTCGCAAACAATGTAAAGTATGTATAGATACATGTTATCTAGAGTCAAGCCTGTTGATTTTCAATCCGAGGGTATCCTGCTACTGACACACTTGTTGAGTTATGCAACAGAACTTAACAACAGTATTTTATGAGACAATCTAGACAGCACAGGGGAGTGCAGGTAGTCCTAGACAGAGTAAGTTTTTGTGGTTGCATCCCTGTTCCACTCCTTTATATTAATATAGTAATATATGCAAATACACCCATTGTATTTATGCAAATGAGGCACATATAATTTTCT